AAGGTTGGGCAATCCTACTTCCGTAGTGATACCGCCTCGGAAACCCAAGGAGGGGTCGCTATGAGTCAGGGCCGACTCGACGGCAAATAACAACAACATAAAACCCTAACTTACTGCAGTTGAGTTGATTCCTACTCATAGTGATCCCCATTGGTTTTCCAAGGTGGTAAATCTTTACAGAAGTAGATTGCTTCTTCTTCCTTCCACGAAGCAGCTGGTAGGTTTGAACTGCCAACCTTCTGGTTGGCAGTCAAATGTCTTAGGCACTGTGCCACCAGAGCTCCACATACATACACACATGCATATATATTGCAAATACTTATATTGTGTCATACTGCTCTAAGCATTTTACTGGTATTAACCTATTTAATGCCCAGAAAGAACTTATTAGAGACATACTAACATTAGAACCATTTTACAGTTGAAGCACAAAGAGATGAGGAACTTACGTGAGCTAGCTGGGCCTTACCCACACCACCACGCTTCAGTGAAGGAGGTCTAGGCTTTCTCAGGAGCTCACCTAGGCCAAAATGGGCCTGAACGGTCACCGAGGCTGGAGTACCCTCTCACCCCAGTCCCGTCTAGCTGGTTCTGGGATCTCTGGAACTGACTCGTCCACTGCCATTATGACCACCTGGTCTCAAGGAAAGCCGCCTGTTTCCCCATCTGCACATTTTGTCCAGGGTTAGACTTCTCAGATCAACTCAGCTAAAGTGACCGAAAGGAACTTACACCAGTCCACGAGAGAAAGCAGCGCAGCAGCAGGACCGAATGGGCGAGTTTACAGAGTGCAGAACTCGGATTCAGACTCTCCTGAGGGTTACTTATAGGTCAGATCAATGTTTTCCAAGCTTCTCTGATCTTAAGAATCTCTATGGTACTTGCTAAAAATACTGATTCTCACGCCCCTTCCCTGGATAGTCGGATTCAATGGATTTAGAGTGGGACATTGAATCTGTGTTTTTAACAACCCCACGCAATTCATATGCTCAGGAAAATATGAGAAAGCTTAGATGAGATTCACTGTTGTCAGTGGTCACAGAACAAACTAGATGCTGGGTCTTTTTCCTCATTTTAACCTTGCTATGGAAACCTTGTCTAAAGATAGGGTTGCCTAGTGGTTTAAACCTGGCTCTGCCATTCATTAGCTTAATAGCATAAGCTATTAAGACCTTCTAAGCCTTAGTTTCCTGATTTGTAAAATGGAGACTAGTGTGACCGATTTGTCCCAATTTGCCTGAAATCTCCTTTGTTTTAGCACTAAAAGTCAGGCATCCCTGGATCCTCCTCGATCCTGGGGAAAACTGTATGGCTTACAACCCTAACAGTAACAGAACTGATTTCAGAGAGACAGTATCTCTAAAGCAAATAGCAGAAGGCTTGGCACATAATAAGGGCCCCACAGATAAGTATTATCCACCTCTTTTTCACATTTCCTGCTTTGAAAAGCTTTCCTAAGGAGAGATGGTCGAGGAGCCCTGTTTATATTCTGTTCATTGGTTAAAAGGATGTTTTAGGTTGAAGAAAGCAATACCGATAATCAGGCATTACCATGGCTGCATTACAGGAAATCAAGTTAGCATTTCACACAGCTGTGCTCTTCTTTTTCTTCCCCTTTATGACAGTTCCAAAGGAGCCTTGGTGGCACACTGGTTAAGTACTTGGATGCTGATTGAAAGGTCAGCCATCTGAACCCACCAGCAGCTCTGTGGGAGAAAAGGCCTGGTGATTTAGTTGCATAAAGATCACAGCCTTGGAAACACTATGGGACAGTTCTACTCTGTCAAATTGACTCCAAGGCAGCAGATTTTGGTTTGGATGACAAGTCCCAATATGCATGGCTATCAGGGTCTTAAGGGTGCAGCTATACTTGAGGTGATCCCAACTGCAATGTACGCCCTCCTTTCCCATGAATTCAGCCCAGGATTAGCTATCTCTGAATATAAAAATGGTGTGGCTGAGAGGAAAACGGGTTTCTGCCTGCATCCGCCATCAGCATAGCTACTTCATTTGTAACTCTTCCTGAAGGGCTAGTCCCAGGCCTCGTTTACTGGTTAAAAGTATGCACAATGATATTCTGGCATCTGTTGATATGCTCTAATCAGCTGGATGGTCAGATTCTTGCAATTGCAGAGCTCAAAGCTCATAATTTTCATGTTTAAATATTTAGGGCCCCTTGAACAATAAAGAGTGGGAAAGATTCTTCCCAGAGATAGATTGTATCTTTGTCCACTTATTAAAGAGTAGTCATTGACAAGTGATTGGGATGCTTAACATACACCTCCTTTCTAACAATAATTCCTTGGTTGTTGGGGTTTGTTGCAGTTAAGTCAATTCCAACAAAGGTTGTGACCTTTTGGAAGCAGATCACCAGGGCTTACTTCTGAGCCACCTCTCAGTGGGTTTGAACCTTTTGATTAATAGTCTAGTCTTTAACCATTTGTGTCACCCAAGAACTCCTAATTCCTTGGTATTTGGAGCCAAATATTTCTTTAAAGGACTAGGTGACAATTTATATTTTTTATTTGCAAGAGGTGAAACAAGAAATTTTTATAACTAAAGTTCTTTTGCCTTTTAAGTTTTACATACTGAGCTTTAGCATCTTCCCTGCTGGAAAGTGCTAGGTGAGTATTATACTCAGGTATGGGTAGCACAAACAGTTAAGCACTTCACTGCTAACCAAAAGGCTGACAGTTCAAACTCACCCAGGGCACCCTAGAAGAAAGGCCTGATGGTCTGCTTCTGAAAGGCCACAGTCTTGAAAACTTTATGGAGCATAGTTCTGCTCTTTTACACACGGGGTTGCTATGAGTCAGAATTGACTCAGTGGCAACTAATTTTGTTATTACACTCAAGCCACACTTTAGATTTTAAGGTAGGTGTATAGGAGCTCTGGTGACAGAGTGGTTAAAGCATTCAACCCAAAGGTTGGTGGTTCAAATCCACCAGCTGCTCCATGGGAGAAAGATGAGGTAGTCTGCTTCTGTAAAGATTTACAACCTTGGAAACCCCATGGGGCAGTTCTACTCTGCCTTACAGAGTCACTGCGAGTCAGAATCCACTCAGTGGCAGTGTTTTTTTTTTTTTGTGTGTGTGTGTGTGTGTGTAACTATTAAAAAGCAGAGTAGTTTGATATTTAGAAACAGCTGAAGTCCAAGGGACTGGTACAGTATGTGATCCTCAGCCTATATGACTATGAGACCAGAAGAACTAGATGGTGCCTGGCTACCACTGCCAACCACTCAGAGGGAGACTTACATAGGAGATTCTGCAGAGAGTGGGAAAACAATGTGGAACAAAACTCAAATCATAAAAAAAAAAAAAAAAAAGGGACCAGGTTAGGTTTACTGGTCTGATAGAGCCTGGTGGAATCCCTGAGACTATGGCCCCTAGCTGCCCTTCAGGTCTGGAATTGAACCCACTCCTATGGATTCCAGCCACAAAAGACAGGCATATGAGTTGAACATTTACCTTAGGTAGATATACTCCTTGGAGAGATCAATCATGGCAGAATAGAAGGGCTGTGTATGCACAGGGAGACAGCTCGGGGAGTAGGAGTGGATGGGAGGGAAGGACACAGGGAAGAGGTGGCTATGGAGAGGAAGTGGGAAGAGAGCTATTGCATTGTGGGAGAGTGCAGTCAATGTCATGAGACAAAGTGCATGTGAACTGCTCTATGGAAGATGAATTTGCTCTATAAACTTTCACCCAAATCACAATAAAAATTTTTTTAAAAAGTGAAAATTATTTGGCACCAAAATCTAGTACATAAAGCAAGCAAGCAATCAACCTGGATGATGCTAATTAGGATAAATAGCTGTCATGTTTCAGGCACTATGAGGTTTAGGGTCCAATGGGAGAGGGAGTGGTAAGACTGATAAAGGCTATGAAGAAAATAGCACAGGAGCTGAGACTGTACAAGAGGGGACTGACTGACTCACTACAGACTGAAAGAAGGTCTCCTAGGGAACTATTTAAACTGAGGGCATAGCATACAAACATTCTAGGCAAATGAACAAGTATGTGCAAATGCCCTGAAGCCATAAAAACTTGTTGAAATAACATCTTCCTGGAAGTATTACACAGAGGAGTATAAAGGGTAAAAGCCTAACTAACATCTGGTGTGTGAAAGCTAAAATCTGAATTCTGGCTCAATCACCTATTTTCTTATTTAAACTCTCTGCACTTGTTTCTTCATCTGTAAAATGGGCATACTAATAGTTCTAACCATATAGGAATGTTGTAAGGATTAATTAAGAAATAGAATACATGTAATGAAGCATATAGTGAGTACTCAACAAATGCTACCTACTATTCCATACTATTGGGAACCATTAGACTTGGGAGGGAGAGACCTCACCCAACGCAGGCAGCAGCAGGAAGAAGCCAGGGCTGATGG